GAATATCAAGTGTTCTTTATTCCAGAAGCAAGCATAATCAGGACTGCAGTGTTGAATGTTTCCAACCAAATATAAACAAATGCAGCACCCTTAAAATTGTATTGAGTTCATTTTAGGCATACCATATAGTCCATTACAAAGCTTCCCTAAATGTAAAGATAATGAAACCAGAATAGATTCATCTGCTTTAAAGGACTTTTCACAGAATGATTTCACTAATGGGAGAACAGTTTGACTTCTATCATCTGAAAAACATAAAAGATATGATTAGAAAGGGATGAATAATCAACATATGACTGAATATTAGCATATTAAAAACAGATCATAACAGATAGAAAAATAGCTGCAAAGCTAATGAATCTTACCCGCATCAAACATTTCTAACAGATTTACCAATGTTTCAAAAGCTGCAAGACGTACACTGCTGCCTTCATCCCTTGCTAATTCTACTAGTTCTGGAAGCACTACATTTTTTGTTAATTCCGTTCTACAAAAAAGAAACAACAAACATTTAGGAGATAACCCATAATTGTCATCTACTACAGTATTCACACATTGGAAATAAGAGATGGCTTTCAATATGTATATTTCCTTAATCCATTTCTACAGAAAAATATATTTAAACATGGATAGAATTCACAAGTCAAGTAATAATTAGTTTACTAAAACCAATGGGACTGACTACTAAGTAGAGTGTTTACTGCATTTAATTTCTCAGTAGTATACACAGTAAAATTTCATACACAAGAACACTGTAATCTATACCAAAGTTTATGTGGTGGAATTTGAATGGCTCAAATGTTTTCAGTGGAGATTTGTTCTAATTTGTCATCAGCTGAGTCAAAGAATTGATGGCATTCCAGTGGAGGAGCAGTAAACTGCTACACAAGAGCACATGAAAAAGATGCTGGTCTACATTTACTGCCCTTCTTGAAATAACCAATCAGTCCTTTTATGTGAGAGAATCGTGTGTGTGTGTGTGTGTGTGTGTGTGTGTGCGTGCGTGCGTGTGTGTGTGTGTAGTCCAATGCTCACTGAAAAGCATGACTTATGGCATCACTATCAGGATGATAGAAAAATAAAATTCTAATTTTACAAGCTCAAACCTTATGTGTTTTACGTATATTTACCTCTCTCAAGATGTCAGTTTCACCATTTAATGAGCTCCAGTTTAGGAAAAACTTAAACCAAAGAAGAATCTTTATGTCTTAACTGCCACAGCATAAAAACTTAAATTATTGCTTAGATTAAGCATATCACCTCAGCACTTTTAGTGAATTATGGCTACAGGAAAAATTATTGTATTGACTGCATATGATATAGGCCACTAACAATTTCGACTTGCCTTTCTTTAATAAATCCTACTCTATATTAGTGATAAACAGGTAATTTCATTATTTTCTTATTGTGGTGGTCAAGAGAACTATTACTATGTTTTAATACTGATATTTCATCATGTAACCCTAATTGAAATCCATTTCAGAATCATTATTTTCTCTTTTGACATATTCTCTTGTAAATTGCCTGACAAAATAAGACTAAGGCACTTATATATTCAATGCTATCAAAATATTGGTAAGTACAATGTGTTAAGAGAGGAAGAATTTTTCAACAAGACTCACAAAGCTGATAAAATATACGGTTTATGATACTTTTGAAACTCTAGTAAATTAAAACTACTATCCTCAAAACCTAACCTCAATTCTAGAATGACATATTTTCTCATATAAATGTTCTAAATCATTCATTTATTCAAAGAAAGTATTTATTTGCAATTACGGTAATGGTGGAGTATCTCTTGGGACATAAATCAATAATAATTTTTATTTTAATAACATTGTTACTTCACCAACTCATAGAATTTTCATTCATTTATTGATACCTAAGACAATCTTTTCTAAAACACTTACCATATTTATTTCTACATATTTAAAAATATTTTGGGAATCTAGTACTAAATAATTAAGTATTAAGTATTCTGTAGAGATTACAAATTCTTTACGTTCACAGAGTGCTAGGAGGATAAAAAGGAAGAGATTTTGAGAACATAGAATGTAAGAGTATCCAGTTGAGCCAGTGAGAGAATCCATTGCAGCCTATTAATGAATTGACCACTATATAGCAGGATCACAAGCTCAAGTTCAGCTTGTGATCCACCAAGCCACTCAAATCCATTAGGCATGTATTGTTGTCCAGGACAGTAATCCTCCTCATCCATCCTTACTAATGCCTTTGGTTTTTTCTACCCAAATGCATTTTATATTTCTTCTTGCTGAATTTCATCTTACTGATTTCTGCCCACTGTTATAGTTTGTGAAGATCCTCCAGATCAGGGGTCAACAGACTCAATCCCCGGTCTGCAGACCCCTACTGGTCCATGGCCCATAGGCAACCAGTGGGCGCAAGAGGTCGGCGAGCGCAGGAAGCTCCATTTGCACAAGCGACGTGCACGTGCGCAAAACCATCCCGTCCTCTGCCACTGCCGGTCCACGGACCCAGAAAGGTTGGAGAGCACTGCTCCAGATAGTCCTTGACTTATAACAGCAAGTAGGATCAGAATTTCATTGCTAAGTGATACATCATAAAGTGGGAATGCATCACTAAGCAATGGCTATCCCTGCAATCCTTGTTGCCATTGTTAAATGAATCCCACAGCCATTAAGCAAGGTAACTTCCTACTGGCTTTCCACAACCAAAGTCAGTGGCAAAGCCAGCAGGAAGTTGCAAATCCCAGGCGTGTAGGCAGGTGACTGCTGCTGAATATAGAAGGCAAAGAGGGGAAGTGCAGGCATGTGGGGAAGAGTGTGCATGGAAGGATGTGTAAGGGCAGGCAAAAGATGCTGCACAGGTCAGGGAGGATACGTGAGGATGTGGGAAAGATACAATGAGGGTGAAGAAAGGTGCCTTGGCTGCACAAGTGGCCAGCGCAGAGGAGTTGTGGGTGGGGGAGACTTACCCTAATGACTTGCAACTTGTCATTGACTTTCTGGGGAAGCCAGCAAATGGCAATCAAGTCATTGTCGGTCTCTGCAGTCATAAGTATGAATCTGCTGCCAAGTACTCAGATCTTAATCAATGACTGTTGGCCAGGACTCCAAGGACTGATCGTAACCAACATTCATTCAGCACTGGCATAACTTAAAATGGTCACTGAATAATCATAGGTCAAAGACTCTCTGTACTCCATTATATTTGTGCAACATGCCAAGTTTAAAATCATGTTTTCTAAATATATCTAAATTGTTTACAAATATGTTGAAAAACACAGAAACTAGAACTGAGGGCTACAGTATGTCACTCAGTGTACTCAAACACTCATCATGCTGCAGAACTATTGATATACTGACATTGAGTTATGACTGTTTAACTAACTTCAGATTCACTCTAACTTATACTTTATTAACTGACCAAGATCAGCTTAGTGATAATTTGGATTTGGATTTTTTTTCAGATATTCTAATATTTATGTCACACTGGCTATGAGAGAAATAGCCCAGGATTCAAAGATGAATTTATTAACAGTTGCAAATTAAGAGTAGCATGCTTGGCAGCAGCAATAAGAAAAATTTTGCCTAACATATCTAATATATCTTGGTTGTTCATAAAAGGAAATCACTTTAATTGAAGTAAGTAATTTGGAAACTTATATTGTATGAGTTCAACCTAACATATTAAATCAATCTGATTTAGAAACCGTGCAAGCTCTTGCAAATTAATACCAACATTATTTGGAATTATTTTCACAGAATAAATAATTATCAACCTTGCTCACCCTATTCCTTGAGCAATTAGTTCTAGCTGCCGGCACATGTAGGAACGAACTTCATATTCTACATCCTGGCAAAGAGATTTTACCAGGGGAAGGATTTCTCTTTTAATGCTAAAAAGGAAACAGTTACTTAAATTATAATAGAAAAAAATGCTCTCCTAATTTTATCATGTATATCTCAAAACTGTAATAAAAGAGTAAAAAACTGATAATTCTAATTTATATAATTGTTATAATAATTTATGCAATAATTATATTTATGAACATCACACTACAATACATATAAAAGATAATTTACACTACTCAAATGTTAAGAACTTATAGGCCGCTATAGCATCATAACAATATTTAATAATGAAATACTGGAAGCAGAAATGTTAGCAAATAAACAGAACTGCAAACTCTAACTACTTTATCAGTATTAATGATAAGTAGATAAATAATTGGGAAATGTATCAAAAATTCTAAATTTCTGAACAGGCAGTATAAATGATACAGCATGAATTTCATCTGTTCAGATCAGTCTGATCTGAAAAACATCTTCTAGAATATCAAGATATTATCACAGTTAAACTAAATGTTTTAAAACACACAATTTACTTTGGAACCAACAGAAGGTTCTTGGGAAGATAAAATATATTTTAAAAACCTGTTTCTTTACGGGTCATTTTGTTCTCCCTCATTTGCTCATTTGTTCATGAAAGTATTTTGATTGGCATCAGGATGAAGGCAAGCATTCTTTGGATTCTGCTTTCACAGAATCATCACAGAACAAAATCTGACTGGCTACTTGGCATCATCCTGGAGTCAAATCATATTTTGATCAATGCTTTCTTCTTTCCCTTGGGCACACAGGGGAAAAAAGGGAGAAGTCAAGAAATCTACCCATCTATGTTATACAAGCTATCACTATTAAAATATGGTGGGTGCCTTTATTTCCTGGCTACTCACCAGAGAGTTCTCAAAGGGGGGGTTGTCTCTACAGCAAGATAAAATTAAAATAAATTCATATGTAGCTAAAAAGAAGATAATGGATTCAAGAACCATTTACTGACGTTATTTTTAATATCTTCCACATCCACATAAAATATCCAATATACTGTAAGCCTATCAACACAGCAATGCAAGGTCCGAAGAAAATTAAGCATATCACAATGAACCTATCTTGAGCATTCATAAATCTCAATTCTTATATAAACTCTATTCTGAGTTACACTATCATATTATTTGAAACTAAAAGACAGGCAGACAAATCCAATACCTTTATAAGAGCAAACAAGGTGGTACTTCTGAACAAAAATGAGGTTGACTGTTTCTGAAATTGCTTTCATGCTGGATGGCATGCAATTATTTTATATCCTTCAATATGGTATACCAGTCTTGACAACAAATTTAAAAACACTTCCAAACAAAATAAAATCTAAAATGGCAACTAGTAGGGCAAATCATGAAAATAAGACTAAAATTTGCTGAAATGACACTGTGCAGGACAAAGATTGTAACTGAAGTTCTAGGAAATATTTATCCTTTTATAGAGGATAGAATTCAGGACCTACAATTGCTATGTAGACTTAATTATTCCCATTTAGATTAAAAAAAGATGCTGCTCATCAGAGCTTTATGGATTGTGTCTTAAGGTCACTGTATAATATACAGCTTGTCAATAGCCCAAAGTAGTATTCTTTTCTATTGCAACAAAATGAGGTCACCTTGTTTCCTTTGTAGACCATTTATTCATTAGGACATCTAAAACACACACAAGCTACTCACATATGAGCTTCAAACTTGTTAGCTAATTTCCCCAAGATTTTACAACTAACCAGGCGAGACTGAAGTGTTTGGGAAAGCTGTGCCTTGGAAACAAGAGGATTCAGGATCTATAGGACAGCAGACAGAAGAAGAAATTCAGGTAACAAATCTAGAATTAGATAAATAAAAGTCAAGCAACAAAAATATGCATTAAGAACTACTTCACATGCTAAAACCTTTATTAGTATCAGTTTTCCAAATCATCCTTGCAGCAAGAGTCAGCGTACTTGAAATTACAGGCTACATTTGATACAATTTATAATTTTTTTTTCTATATCAGAAAAATATAACCTGTGGCATAATGGCCAAATTAGTAAAACCACTAAAATAAACCAAAGTTTATACTCTCCAATCTAAAACTTAAAAGGCATTTACATTGTATAATAATAATAATGATGATGATGATGATGATGATGATGATGATGATGATGATGATGATGATGTTGTTGTTCTTAATTGCAAAGTCGTCTCCGACCCATCGCGACCCCATGGACAATGTTCCTCCAGGTCTTCCTGTCCTCTACCATCTTCTGGAGCCCATTCAAGCTCACGCCTACTGCTTCAGTGACTCCATCCAGCCACCTCATTCTCTGCCGTCCCCTTCTTCTATTGCCCTCCATCTTTCCCAGCATTAGGCCCTTCTCCAGTGAGTCCTTCCTTCTCATTAGGTGGCCAAAGTATTTGAGTTTCAACTTCAGGATATGGCCTTCTAAAGAGCAGTCGGGGTTGATCTCTTCTAGGACTGACCGGTTTGAACGCCTTGCAGTCCAAGGGAATAATAATAATAATAATAATAATAATGATGATGATGATGATGATGATGATGATGATGATGATGATGATGATGATGAAGAAGAAGAAGAAGAAGAAGAAGAACAATGTAAATGCCTTCTAAGTTTTGTACAATTTTAAACATAACTCTTGGGTTTTCCCATTCCATATAAATCTTGAACATTCACTAATCTTTGCTGTTAATACCGGTATACTGTATGTTATCAAGCCAAGTTTTTAATACTCCATTTTAGAGACATTTTATTTAATGTCTCTAGTAAAAAAAGTCCATTCTGAATTATCAAAGGCTTTTTTAATGTCTAAAAATATTACAGCTGTCCTCTTTTTATTAATGTTGAGTAATTTTAGTATTGTTGTTGTTGTTAGTTGCGAAGTCGTGTCTGACCCATCGCGACCCCATGGACAATGTTCCTCCAGGCCTTCCTGTCCTCTACCATCTTCTGGAGTCCATTTAAGTTCACACAAATCTGTTACCTTTTATTTTCCTTTTTGGATTGTAATTGTCTGATTTACATGTACAGTTTTGGAAATGTGCTTCATATGTTTGGCTAATATGTATTTGCCATTCAGTAAAGAAATTGGCCCATATGCCTGAGATTTCTTTGGGTTATTGTGTATTAACATAATATACATTTTCTTCTCAAGCTTTTGGTATTACTTTTCTTGTTTGACTTTCATTCACTTTCAATAGGAGTTCTGCTAATACCTCTTCTTTTTGTTACACAAAATTGTCAGCAGTTCTGTGCCTGGCGCCTTATTCATTTTAATTTTCTTTACTGCTTTTCTAATCTCTTGCGTTCATATTAATTTGCTTAAGATTTGTCTACATTCTTTAGTAAATTCTTTAAGCTCTGAGTTTTCAATAAATCTTTCTGAATGTCCCTTGTAATTTTATGTCTGGAATATAATTCCACAAAAATATTCTTTTGTTATTACCAATCTTAGATACAATAATCTGTTTTCTTTCTTCATAGCTATATCAGCCTTCTTTCTTTCTTTTTTCTGATCTAGTATGACAAAAGTTTCCTCGTTTTTTTGCATTTTTTGAAATTCTACCACTTTCAATAAATCTAATTGTTAATTAATTTACTGAACTCTTTCAATGCTTGTTGATCGAGACTAGTTTTATGAATCTATCCTAAATCTTTTATTCTCTCTTCTAATTATGATTTCTATTATGTTCTTTTTTTCCTGATTTGCTGCAAGCCTTATTAAAATTCCTCTCATATAAGCTTTACTTGTCTCCCATACAGTGGTCTCTGGTATCCTTGTGACATATTTTTACAAACAATAATTCTTATTTCTATAATTCTTTAAGCAACACTATATGATTTGTGTTTCTTTAAGTATCACATATCATTCATCCTCTATCTGAAGATAATTTCTGAAACCAAGGTATTACAATTAGAGTATGATCTGCATACATCACTGAATCAATATTATTTCTTTGTTAGATGGTGTGACTCTTTTAGATTTGGTATATATCAATTATTGAGTACACTTGGTGTTTTACTAAATAAACATACATTCTCTTGGTTTTGGATTTCTAAAAACTTAATTTATTCATTTTTAAGATTTATAAGGCTTACCAAGTCAAATGGCTTGACTATGGGCAGTATACCACATAAACACATAAAAAAACAAAAAACCCACCATATAACAATAAATAGACAATATATAAGTATAAAATGGTGACCAAGCATACAATAAAAATCAACTGGTTCCTATTGCCTATTCCCATAGTCCAGCTCCATCACTACGGCCATAGGACACTGACTGGATTTTGCCAAAAGCTGTCAGCTAGCTTCTGCTCCCACTGCAGATTGATGGCAGACTTGTCTATCTTCAGCATTCCAAGTGTCCAAGGGCCAGCTGAGACTAGTCAAACTGCTCACCCACCAGAAGCTGATCACTTCAGGTCAAATAACAGGCCATTCACATGGAGGACAATCTTCTTTGGAGCCTCCATACAAGACACATGAACAAACTGCCATAAATAAGGTAGGCAGCAGCTCCACTCACAGTGCTGTTGCCTTTCCCACACCACCAGCTCCAGCCCAGCTATTGCTGTTCCTTATTGCTCCAAATTTCACTGCAAGTTCATTCCCCAAAAGATGTTGAATGAAAGGTACTGCCATGGTGCCACCCTAGATAGCACTCTACCAAATAAGCTGTTCAGCAGCTGCGTTAGTCATCAGCAGAGCAGCAGTTCCATTTACAGCACTCATGCACTGCCGACACTCTTTGGATACCTGCCTGTCCAAAGCAGCTGAGAAGCTAGTCCAGGGTCCCAACAATTCCTCTTTGTTACACATCCAAAGCTTCCAACACCAAAGCCACAACTATCAGACTCCTGGAAAGATGGTCCTCCAAAAACCTAATATCCAAGCCTCAAAACCTAACCCAACCTCCACCACATCCTAAAACCAATACAAAAGTCCCTCAGCTAACAAATACCTACCAACTCAGTCGCCATCTTTAAAAAAGTGCTGTAATTTATTTGCTAAGCATTGGTCAAACCAATACACTCATCTACTAGAAAACCTTTCTTGGAAGCTGTCCACCCCCCTCCCCTCTGGGATTGTTTGTCTAAACTTGGATCTAGCATTCTATTCATGTCTTCTACAATACTTTTTTCTCCTATGCAATTCTTATTCACATTTGGAATAGTTTTTTCTTAGCTATATTTAGAGCGTAAATGGATGGATGGATACCAATATTGAAATGTTGCCTTCTTTCTTAATTTCAGAATACTTCCTTCTTTGTCCTTTAATTGCTTTAGTTTTTAATTATCAATATTTTAATTTGCTCATTGACCAGAATATTAAAAATGCATATCTTCTTACAGTCTATAACTGAACAATTATAATCATGCTGCAACTGAAAATTAATTTTTGGAGCTGCAAAAAGGGTTTTCCAATTTACTGAGAAATTAGGAATGGGCAATTGGGCAATATTTTTTTTATTTCTGCTAAAATGATTTGCAGCCAAAATATGACACAACACTTTCCACTTTTATTTAAAATAAATATTTGGAAATTTGCTGACTTAATATTTCAAGAAAATAAAAATAAGAAATATAAAAATACACTTTGATAACCTACAAGTTTGAGTAATACTCACTTAAATTCTTAGAACTTATGTCTTTTAATCATTAAATAATTAAATTTCCACATATTTTTATTTTTCTTGATAGTAGTCAAATCTTTTCTCATTTTGAAAGTTTATGACCATATGGCACATTTCACTGTAACTAAAACAAAATGGGTAGAAGGTTTCATATACTAGAGCATGGGTGTCAAACTCGATCGCATCACATGATGTATCACTACTTTTTTGCCTTTGCGGAGCCACATCTGGCCCGCAGGCCACCAGTTTGACACCCCTGTACTAGAGCATGAAGGCCAAATTTAGTTCTAAATAGAAAACAAACTATAACTATAAGCCACAATCTATCTTCCCACTAATATCGTGGGAAAACAATATTACCTCATGTCTAATAGTTTCTTTTGGAAGAGCTTCTATTGCAGCAAGAAGTGTGTCCAGCCAAGCATTACTGACACCTGTGAAGTACAAATGAACTACAGATATAAGCACCACAAGCCAGTTCTGTAAATTCTCTTAGACAATGACTTCTATTAACAATATTGTGACAATAGTAACACTAAAATAAATATATAATTTATACATTATAAAAGTTAATGTGTTAATATAATTTAACAGATCAAAGTCCCACCAAATGAAAGGCTAGACTGAACTTACCTAGGAGTATAGGTAGACCATGCTTACTGACTGCCTTGTTCAGTGACCATATGAAGTTTTGACAGTGCTGAAAAATTAACTTTAAGACCTATGTCCACATTAATTACCTTTTTAGTGTCTCTCAGTCATGTAATTACCATTATAATCAGTACATATTGTCTTGTGCCTGATCTGTTTTTCTTTTTGATTCCTCCTTTCAAATAGGAGAGATTGGAGAAGAAGGGATCACAAATAGGAGAGATTGGAGAAGAAGGGATCACAAGTGAATACATAGGCACAAACGGGGGGATACATTGGGTTGTTTGTATAGCACCTTCACGGCTTTTATCCCTGAGTATTCTTGGGATTGCCAGCACTACCTCATTCCTTTTGATGTGTCTTCCCCGTTATGTGCCTGCTTAGTCTCTTGTAATTCCCTCCTCTTTTTTATAATTTTATTAAAAGGTTTTTTTTTAATAAACAAAGGCTAATCAACTATATGATGTACCACTAGCAAACCTATTCTATAATCACTTATTTTATTTTATTCTGGCATGTTCTGCTTTAAATAGTACATTATCAGAAGAAAAAGCACAGCAAACTAAGAAATCAGCAACATGGCATTCATCTGACCTGCATCTCTATGCTCCAGATTCTGTAGAATGAGTTGTAAGAATGAGTGAGAGTAAGTATGGATGGATATTGACTCCTCTTGAAGAATTGTCAAAAGAGAAACAGCTGCTGTTAGTTGCATTTCCACACCTGCAACAGGTAGAACTTCCTGTATAATCAGAAAATAACCAAGCAAAAGACATACATACATTAAAAGCAAATATAAAAAGTATAAAAACTACATCTTACTATTTGTAAAATATATCACACCTTAATCATACCTAATTTATAATTATTGTGTTTTATTGTAGTTTTGCTTTCTCACACTTTGAGGATAATTGAACACGGCTGCGTTAACACACCCACTTCTTCTTGGGCACTCCACC